ATGGACTTATGGCTAGGAGAGGAAAGGGTCAACTTTCGGGGGATTTTGACTTTTTTTCTTGGATTATTTAGTGACATGTCTAAATCTACAGTGGTAGGTGGTATAGTTTTATTGGCTATTTGATTACAATTTAGCAGCCTTTCGGTTGGTGTCGCTCTCTGAGAAGATAATTCTGTGTGGTTAGAGAGGGGTGGTGCGGTGGATTCTACGGTGTCTCTCAAAGGGTTGGGTATAATTGCTGCTTGCAATGTCCTATTGTTTATTCCACAGTTAGACTCAGTGTGATAATTATATACGCGCCTTTCTATGACGGTCTTGTCCACCGCAACCTTTACTAGTTTATAATTTCTGGCTTGCAGTGGGGTGTGTTGGGAGTGGATAAATTTTCTGGCCTCAGCAGGTGTTTCGAACTGAAAACGAATAGGACAACACTAGTCATGTTGACTCTTCTTCAGCCTGTAGCACTTAGTCTTGGAGTTGGGCATTTTCGCCTCACTAAGTAGGATGCGCTGTACCTTTTTTAGTGCCTCATTATCCGGAACGTTGTAGATAATAGCATTTAATTTAGCATCTAGTCGTTTTGTTACTTCTGTAGTAACAAAGTTAATTAGGTTATCCACCTTAGATATCGATTCACTGTCAAGTTTGTTAAGGTCTACAGTTTTCATGAGAATATTTAAAGGTGTCAGTTCACAGACCTGCAGTCTGATATCACTGATCTGACCTGATAAATTGGAGATTTTGGTATTGGTATCGGAAATTCCAGGATCTACTGACTTATTGTTTTTTAAGTCCCTTAACTCGGCCTTAAGTTCTCCTATAGACAACTTTAGAAGTTCTATTTCTGAAGATAGTACTGAAACAGAGCTTGAAGGCTGGAGCTTTTCGATAAGCACATAAGGTGTAGGGAGGGTTTCTGTATGAGCAGAGGGTACTGAATTTTTGGGAGTAGTGCTAATACTAGCTGTCAGTGCAGTTTTATCCTCAGTTTCAGCTCGACGCTTACGACATACAAGTGAGTTTTGTGGCTCACTATAACCATTTGTAGGAAGTATGTTGCTTGATGTAGCAATCAACGACTTAAAATTAGTCATCAGTTTTACAGGGGATTGAGTTCGCTGCTTTTTACTTTGGTTAACCATAACTATTTGACATGAGAGTTAATAGTTATAGGTATGGAAGTAGTAGAGGACTTGTGCAAGGATTACAACAAGATAAATTTTATGTAACGAATCACGCAAAAATGTAACGCAAACGTTGGACGTACCGCCAGATAGAATTCAATAGGACCCCACTTACTTTCCTCTGTGCTGCTGTCCTTTGTCTTCTTTTTTCTCTCACCACTTTAGCTTCTATATGACTTTTTGAACGGGAATAAAGAATGGAGATATTTGACCACTTACGATGACAAATGATCTGTAGACATTACTGTTCCGATATCCTACAACTTTCTAATGTATTACCCATTACCTTCCTCCGCAACGAGTCCTGGATTACAGTTATGGAATACACCTTAACACCAATGTAAAAATATTAATTTACAATACTTCACGATTGTAATCTATAAATAACTGATCTTGCCTGTAAAAATGGCTTGCATTTCTTGTAAACACCCGTTTATAAGAATATATAAACTATTATTATTAATCTGCATTCAGTAAAATTCACTTCTGGTGTTACTTACGATGAAAAGGCTGACAGGATGGCACAAGTATTTCACTTATTTTATATCAATACCTAATATGGGTGTAAGTCAAGAATAATATTCGATGCCGTATACACCAAGGCTATATGGGGGAATGACTTCAAACTTTATCTTTTTCCTAAGAATTTGTAATACTTCCAAAACATAGGTTTTTTAGTAATGTGAAAACAATACTCCTATTCAACTTGAAGTGCCTCACTTAGTGACTAGTTAACAGATTTTTGCCACAAACTAAAGACAAAATAGATAGCAACCATGTAATTTCACTGTAAGCCAAATTTATGTGATCTAAATAATACCTGCCCATCCGCGTACAACTGGTGTGTCCTACATAGGTAGGAATAAATATATATTTTTGTATTAAGATTATTATTAAATATGCTTACTAATCGTGTATATAATTTATCATATTGATGATGCCCGTAAAGTGGCGTCCGTTATGCACAAAAACTGAGAATATATTACTATCATTATTAAATATCCAGAGGCTCTCACCTGGCGAAATGAATGACAACGGAGCACAATTCGCAAACTTACACGCCTTTAGCGATTTAGTGATTGCAGGTAGCGTGTAAAAACGCAAGGATTTGCAAAAGGCAACATAAATTCCGCCTGAAGAACATACTAAAAACCAGATAGATTTCATCTCAATGATACTCATGGAAGTGTAGACGCAGTCTGCTGAACACTATTTTACGAAGGGCAGCAAATGTGGGCTCAAATCGCTATCTAGTTCAAGTAAACTTCCAGATCACGCTGAAAGCCTTGCTAGCAACTGAAGATAGGCTACATTTCAGGTTCAAATAGAGAAACTGAAGCATGAACAGAAAAAGAAACCTTCACTACAACTATCAGAGTAAATACGGGAACATTACGTAGCATCACTGAGGAAACCTGCTTGGAAGAACTTTGGAAATTGCTGAAGGCGATGTTCAGGCAAGCATGTGCCACAGTTTGAGGAAGAAAAGCAGGCAAGAAAAGGACGGCTGTCAACGGATACCTAGAAGCTAGTAGAAGAGAGAAGAATGGTGAAACAGAGGATGGACCAATGCAAGGATGGGCAACAGAAAGTGAAGCTGAGTTCAGTGTACACTGCACTGAATAAAGAAGTAAAGAAGAGTGCTAGGAAAGGCAAAGGACAGTTCTACGATGCACTGGAAACAAAAGTAGAACAGTCAGACCGCAGGCAAAGGAGACCTCAGGACATTATATCAGATAACCAGCTCTCTATCCGGGAAGCGAACAACGCAGACGATGCCCAAATAAGATGGCCAAGGGAACTTAATTAACAAATACGAGAGAGAGACAAACCAATGAGTTAAAGGACTATTGAATCGAAAATCACCTGCAATTTGCCCAGAAACACACCATCACCAACAGCATGCACAGAGCCGGCTGCCAGTGGACACCAATCCTTCAACGAAAACAGAAATCACAAATGCGATGAAGCTACTGAAGTCCGGGAAGGCAGCAGGACCAGACGAAATTTCTCCTGCCCCCGAAGTACTGAAAATGGACCCAGAGACTGGGGCAGATGTGCCCAAGCCATTATTATAGAGAGTTTGGGGAGGGAGAAAAGGAACCTACAAACTAGAAGAAAGGCTTGCTACTTTGTCAAAATGCCAAAGAGGGGCTACCAATGCGTCACTCTTCAAGAACTGACGTGGAATAATGCCCTTGTCCACATCAAGCAAAATACTAAGTGGCATCATCCTGGAGAAAACAAATGATGCACTGGATACAGAACCAGCTTGCTGGAACAAGCTGGATCTAGGAATCATGTGCTGATCGAATTGCAACCAAACGCATCGTCATCATTGTCGAAAAAATCATAGAATGACAGTCAAACCTCTACCTCAACTTCAGGGACTTCGGAAAGGCCTTCACCAGACAGCGTTGACCGAGAATCAATTTGGAAATAACTTAAATACTACGGCACGCAGTGCGCGAGTCTTTGTCAACCTAACTCAACATTTATATGACAGTGACACGTGTCAGGTGATCCAAAACGGAAAACTCAGCGAAGCGTTCGAAGTGCATAAAGGAGTAAGACAAACTGGATGCCTATTATCACCAATGATATTCCTGATTGTGGTGGACTGAGTTATGAGTCAGGATGTGGAGAGTGAGAATACAGCAATACGCTATAAGAAGACTCTAGAATATTTGGATTTATGTCCAATGTCACGCAAACTTGAAGGCATGCAGGCGAAAACCAACAAACTAGCAGAAGAAGGTGGTGAGAAAGACAGAATTTTTTGTGAACATATAGAAGAAGGAGGTGCTGAAGACAGTCAACAAAAACCGGCATTATCATCATCAATGCGAGAGATATGACTCCTTTACTTACCTAGAAATCATTGTCTCAACTACAAGCGGAACGGATGAAGACGTCAAAACCAGCCAGAATCGGAGAGGCAAGATACACCTTCACGAACCTTAAACCAGTTTGGAAATGTGCAACACTCCACAGCGTTAAGAACAAGATTCGGATTTTCAACGCAAATGTGAAGTAGGCCAGTTCTTATATACAGGTCAGAAACTGACAATGCATGTCACGAAATGGATTTCCGAAATTTTACAGACTTTCATCAATAACTGCCTTCGCTGGCCCCATACTGAATTAGCAACAGGAAACTCGGCCAACAGACTAAACAAGGGGCCTACTGCTCAAAAAGTATGCATGAGAAAATGGAGATGGATTGGACACACGTTGAGTAGGCTGTCGAATGAAATCGTTCGCCAGGCCATTGCACGATTAGAATTCCAATGGGTCGTCGGAGAATGACGTTGAGGTGATCATGCGAGAAGCGAATGAGAGATTATGTTCAACCATGGACCCAGATGAAGAGGACAGCACCAGATAAGAATAGGTGGAGATATGTTGTTGAAGTCCTATGTCCCACTCAGAAACCAAGGGAATAATAATATAATCATAATAAAATCCCGGGACGATATATATCTCTGTGGGGTGCCTCATCTTCAACGAATCCTCAAGTGTTACAATCAACTCCCAAAGTAGAACCGAACAGCAGTAAAACAGGTATGCAAGCAGTTAGTAAAGACTGAAAACCTTTCATCTCTAAATGAAAATCTCAGTATGGGGGATGAAAATTATAGAAATGCGAAAGTACTTATGCTATCTGTGTCAAGTAAGAAAACAAAATTTCTTCTAGTTAACGAGCTTTAGCTCCATTAAAAATTATTTGGTGTTGTTTTCAGGGTTTAAATTGGGTGGAGACTTAAAAAATCACTCAAGCCTTCCCTGTGCTTCAAATCTTTGTTTGATGCTTTATTCAAGGTCACTTTGAGGACTCACAAATTTGACGCGGATTCCGTGTTTATTGTTTTTTATTATATATTGCTGTGTATTTTAGTACACTCATGAAGGGACTGATTAAGCGAACGAATACTTTCAAGTCTCCGAAATCGTTTAAGGGTGATAAAAGTCAGGAAGGCAAGTTAAATATAAAATTAAAAAATATATTCATGACTATAAAATATGTGGTATTTATTATGTTGCAAATATTCTGTTTATAATCCTTTAGTAAAATAATCTACATTTTCACGGTTTTTTAGAGGGATGCTCTAGAGTTGGTAGTAGTTTTCAGGCTCAAATTCCTGAATATACTGAGGAAATTGATTGCTATGATTCGAAGAATCCCCCTCACAAAGAATTCAGTGTATGGATGCCAAATCAACAGCCTAATGCTGAGGAGTTGAATTCTTACCTCGAATTCGCCAAACAATACGAGTAATTTCACTTTATCTAATTTTCTATGTGTAGGTATACTCAAGAGTTAGCTATGATTTTATTACATTGGCATAATTACGACATTGAGAAAGCGATTGATGACATACCTAACTATTCACCGGCATACAGTAAATGGACAAAAAATGAGGTGAAGAAATTTTTGAGATGCATTGATTCGAAGCCGAGGAAGGATTTTGTGGAAGCCAAGAGAACGGTAATTTTTCAACTTTTAAAGTTGTTTCTATTCATACTCGTAACTTTGACCGTCTTCTTATCGTTATTTGCTTGTTTTATTTCGTCCAATTTAGTGCAAGGCGAAATAATGACCTATGCTGCTTTTCTCGTTATTACTCATTTTATTTCCGTACCCATATGTCATGATCTTACATCATGACAAATATTTATCACAGATTTGGTCTCCAGACCCACATATTTATTATGTATTTCATAATGCACAAGGTAGTGCAACATTGTAGTGGAATATGGGGTTGCTGATTACAAATGAATTTTGTTTGTATGCTGAGTTTATAATAAGTTATATCAGTTTAGACTGATTTGGGTCACAATTTAAACTTTTCGTAGCAACTTATCCTCTCTATTCATATTGTCTACAGTTGACTACGTGGCTTTCTACCAGATAGGTCTATGTAGTCCTCCATACATCCGCGGATATTAATGATATGTGTGATGTTATCAGATGTCTGGTTTTGAGTGAAATCAGTCTTTCAGAATGGTCGTTGTTTAATTCTTGTTTAAGACTTTCAAATGTGCTCTTTCGACTCGAAAATATACAACAGTTTACGTCAAGAGGAATGCGCATTTACGTTGCAGTTGTTTGATGCGTCTGTCACAATTAGTTTTTCGTACATAGTAGTTGGACATTTTCTGGATGTTTATGGTGTGTTGTGTTTCTGAAAGCACGTTGTTTCATGAAGGTGACGTGATGGCATTTTATCCTTCGTCTTATTCCATTTCAACTTTTAACAGTGATAGTTTACGGTTATCTACTTATAAGTATTATAGCGGAACATATTGCTCGTAGTAGGATAGATGGTAAATATCATGATAAATCAGACAAAAGAAATAATGCTTCAATTTCGTTGATAGACCTCACAAACAATAAAAATTCTCAGCATATAATACTACAATTGATTTTCGCATGTGGACATAAGAGATATACCTGTCTAGTTTACCTTTAGCAGTCATTTGTACAAACTATCAAGCAATAATTCAGAGAATATATTTGGACCCTACAAATGGAAATATTTCAGAATATTCATCTCTGTGACATCGGAAGCAAGAATACTGTGGCCTAATGTTCTGAAATTCTTTAAGGCTAAATGATTTACTGTCAGTAGTAGGTTTCTAAGGAAATAAATAGCATTGGCTAGTGAGAAAAAAGTTTTCTCTTATATTAAAATTTACTTAAATATATTAGTTGAATTTGGATAGTATGTCACTGCTATTTTGTCTTAGTTCTTTCGCTTATTATATCCTATAATGGAATCATGGTAGCCATTTGACGGCGTTGCGAAAACAGCTTATTCCTCACAAATATTTCAAATGTAACACCTCGTCCAGAAAACATTTCATTACTTTATACATTTTACAAATTAACTGAAATGGATTTCAAATAGCTAGCTACAAATCGCTGTTATTCATTCATGTTTTTTAGTCCACATGTAGTTCTTCTCACCAATACGCAGACTTATTTCTCTTAGGAGGTAATTCTATAGAAGTATTTTAGAGAGACCAAACTTCTGGTCAGATTATTTTCTAAATATTACATCAAACCAATTTTTAAAAATAAAGATTGTATAGTACTTATAAACTGTATTAGTATCGTGTTTCAGAGGTATTTGCAGATATTTGACCATCTAGTGTATTAACTTTAATGAGTACTTAATTTTGCGTCGATTTATTATCCACAATAGCTACATCTGTAGTGTCGAAACAGAAAAGACATTAGTTGCAAAATTATGGCGGCAAAGAAAGCGCTAGAACTATTTCCTCTTCAAAGTGACCTATATAGGGTAGTGATCTAAGATTTACAGATCCAGCAATATAAAATATATTTTATCTTTCATGCCTGTCAAACCTTTTCTCCTAATGTAGCTACGTAGTCGCAGCATACTAATGGGTATCTTGAGCTTTGGCACATGTTTGGTAACGATAGTGCTCAAGATAAATTTAGATGTATGAAATATCACTTTTCCGAAGATAATAGAAAAATCTCTAGCTAGTCAAAAGAGGCACAGAAACAGTGAAAATACAGGAATTAAAATTACAGTTTAAATCACGATGATTAAACGTTTTTGTGGATAAATCATTCTGATTTATGTTAATTGTCTATTTCTGGGTAAATGTTGAAATTTCTATGGTAGTAGTGGTGTAAAAACAAAATGAGTAATTCTATAGTTCTGTTTCTAATTTCTAGGTGTACTTATTAATTAGCAGTAATCGACTTAATATGTTTAGTTGTCAGATTTAAAAACTAGTTATTTTTTGCTATACGTTTTTCGTCATTGATCTTGGAAATGAGATTAAAAACTACTGGGTATGAAGATAATGCCGAACAGTCTGATTTTGTCACAAAGTGATACATCTTCAGTGCATGTAATAGGAGTTCAAAAACCTACGGCTTATACCCCGAACCTTCGAAGCTTTGAATAACTACTGAGTCCTCTGACGTATAAAAGATTCGACCTGTCGCCTATTGCATGTATTTACAATCCTACAGGATGTCAACTGCGAGTCTGAATAGCTCAGTGGTAACGTCTCTGTCTACAGTACCGGTTGATCCAGGTGCAAATCTCAAAAGAGACATGAATCCCTTAGAGATTGCAGATACGCCCTGCTGACGAGTGCCAACAAGCAAGAAACCCAGGTCTAAGGCTTCCTGCCTATTGTCTCCAGTCATTTAACAACAATTCAGAGTGCACTGTAATGGTGAGCCACCTAGCATGATGGCCACATCGCAAACTTGACTGATAAAAATCAGTATGCACCAATACCAAGGACTAGATGCATGACGTTAGCTACTACCTAGTGTCCAGTCTAAGTATTTACTCAAGTACTGGGAAAGTTAGTCCTTTAAATGATCCTGGCTTATTAGTCTTTGAAAATTTACCACATAAAATTAGAATTTCTCTCTTTACCCACCTCCTATGCATTGTTTGGCTTACCACTCCCTAATCGGCTCATCTTTAGTTATTGTTATTATTAAAACACAAACCGAGCACATTATGGGCTCCAAGAAATGCACCACACAAAAAATAATAGAACAAAACAAGCTAAATAGTAAGAGAATAAATGAGGAACATCATCCAGAGACCAGATAAGCATACTTGTCAAGTTTATTCAAAATATGTTATGAGTATAAAACTTGGGCACTGTGGTAGGGTGTAACTCCATTATGGATAAGATTTTATTTTCATAAATCACACAGTGATTATGAGCAATAATTTGTTCTCGAAACATCATCAGTTAATATTACTGTGTAACACTGTGTGATTTATGAAAATAAAATCTTATCCATAATGGAGTATTCAAAATATGGTTCATGCTACTTTCAGAAAGGAGGATATTACATAATGTTGGCCAGTAATTACTGTTCTTGGCCATATCTGGCACTGTATTAAACCAGCGATGCGAATTACCCCTCGGACTGCACTCGGGGAGCAGTGATGCAGCAATGCATGCCTGTCTAACAAATATCCTGCATTCAACAGCACCAATATTATAGGCTAACCACCCTTCTGCTTTTTCCATCCATTCCTAGAGCTGGTGAACAGCGAGAGGTATCAAAGCCTCTGGTAAAACATTTGTAGCACGTTAACAAACCACCAAAGCTGATCTTTCACGTAAGCACCTTGTAGATGTTGTTATACTCGCTATCTGCCAGAATGAACTGGTAGGCGTCCAGAAGTCACAAGGAACTCACAGAAGGCAAGCGGATTTTAGCAAAGCATTCTTTTAAGGCACCAACGACTTTACTCGCCGTTTGCATCCCTTCTAGCAGGTAGTCAATGTTCATGTTTACTATTTGGAGGCTTACTAGCTAGCCTTGAGTTTAACTCAGTGTAATACTTCACATAAGTAACAGATGCTACCAGTTAACCAACATCAACTTGTAGAGGACGAGTACATCTTAGTTTTTTCTTTAGGAACTTTAACAGTACAAATAATGTGTTGAAGTAAGTTCATTTTTGTTCTTCCCTTGGACTTTGGTTATGCGTGGCAGAACGGAAACCTGTTGTTCATTTATTCTTACAGTTAGATTAGTTATTTAAAATATGTCATTATCACAAGTCAAAATAATAAATTAGCTGAGTCATATTGTAATTTGTTTGTTATATTACTTTTTTTCTGCACAATGAATGCTTTTAATTGTTAGTTACTAAAGCATGTTAGACGAATGAATCGGTAACTGTTAATATCAATTATTTGGGGTTTTAGTGTGATTTGTGAAAAAGGATTTGAAACCAAGCAGTTATACAATAATATTCTGTGTAAGGTACTGTTGAATATAGCAGGTCTAGGAATAACCGATAACCTTTTTCATAACAATCTGTTATAGCAGTAGATGACCACTTATTTTTTTCATAATTCGACTAGCAGTATTGCCTAAATGCTTAATAATATGTACTGTTATATCTAACTTAATACGGTGTACATTTCTCTTACTCCCACGTTTGTATTTATTAGAATGCAGTAAAGTTGTTTCATATTCGTTTAGTGTTAATAAATGTTAAAGCCCAGCAAATACATTACTATCTGTTTGGTGCACATAAACTTAGCTTACCGGCATCCTAGTGGATCGTATTATTCCAATTAAAACTCGTAACTATCACATCTAATCTCCAAGGTGTTATGCAGTGAATTACTTATTCTTGGAAGACATTTTGGCATAGCAGATGTAACTTGTGTTTTTTTAGATCTTGTTGTTGTAACTGCATCACACCAACCAACTTCTGTATATGCATTCATACCTTTGTACGGTTACATTGATGTTAACTAGGTTCTCAGGAACCTAACCGCTTTATTTTATTTTCCATGATTTCATCAAATTCTTCATGAAATGATAAATAAAGTGTATGAGGACTGGAATATTGACATCTTGACTAGTTGAGCTAATGAACGAACGATAATAACAAAGAAGTTGATCAGGGTGTTATATGTGAACTGAATTATATTCCTATGCGGATATAAATATCCTGTGTATGTTCCATGAGAAGCCTAATTATTTTGTAGGCCGTTCAATTTTTAGTTTCATTGCAAACATTGAAACCTCAACGTTAACTATAAAACTAAATTAGTAGTGGGTTTTAAAAGTCATTTATACTTTTACGAGTTGATCACGGACTGATATCAGTTAGAGAACCATTGAAAATCAGGGAGTACTGGACCGTTCACAAACACTCATTTTTCTGTTCAAACTCGTTTTTGTTCAGTGAAAATACATGTTAGGTATAACTCAGATCTCTTCATCTAGTTGTTTCAAGCACGTTAAACCTACGTCCAGTATTGAGGTCAATGAAATAAGCGTAAAATTAGCTGAAGTAAATAAGTAGTTTCGTTTAGCTGACTGTGACAAAGAATTACCTGTTAAAGTTTTGCATTCCTGTTAATTGTACTTTTTCTGACCCTTTGTGGTTGTGAAGTAAAATAAATCAGTAGTCATTATTTTTAACAATCAAATATGGGTGTATGTCAAGATGAAAAATTCGAGGTTGCCACTTGTAAACGCTTGGGGCAAAAAAAGTGCATTTCTATGTCTAAATTCCAACTTCTATTAATTGTATCTATTTGGCTGACTTTAAGGTGCAGAAATGACAACAACTATTCCAAAGTATTTGCGATAGAAATCCAAAATTGTCTTTCTCAAAGGTTATTTTGTTGGTTTCTTTGTGAGATGTTCTTTTGAGATTTCTTTTTCCGATTACTGAAACAATACTGTAAAATTAAAAATCCCCATTCAATTGACAACATTAACTAACGAACTATGACTCCATCTTATACATCTACCCAAATAAAGTTTCTGAAATAATTTTCACTTGCATATACCGGCTTTTCGTATCCTAATATTCATGGATTTACAACTGTAGAACCTGAGAAAGTAATTGAAAACAGTTGTTCGTTCAAAACAATCCTGTTCTAAAACTGTAAAAGTTTGGATGGTGGTAAGTGGATCTTTGTAGAGTTCAATGTGGAAAGAAAATTTACATCCTGATTAAACTTCACTTTTAAATTCGACTGATCAATTAGCACTATTAAAGATTTATAGAGTTTTATTTAGCTCAGTATTTCCAATGATAATGACAAAGAAATCATCCATGCGTCGTTTGTAAACTTTCAGCTGATGATTGGTGGTTGATTTGAGACTATTGTTTTCCACGTACTCCATAAAGCAATCAACGAGTAATGAAGTTGAGAGCTTATTACCGTTCTATTTTTCTGTTGTATAAAAGCTGGACATTTTATGTGCTCTTCAGCCTATTGGCTCTTCGATAATACGTAATAGGTATGCCTTATTTAAAATCCGATTAGAAATCAACCATGTATGCATTCTCATTTGGCTAAAGTAATGTATCAAGTTGTGATCGAATAAGGATATGGTCTGCAACAACGCAACATTCATTTGTATTCATACGTTACATTTGTGGGAATAGTGTCTTAAAAGCATATCTTATTCTTGAAAATAATACTTGAAGTAATATAAGTGAAAGTTTTAGTTTGAAAATGATTTACCTAGCGTATTTTGCTTTCAAAATTTCCATTATTTTGATAAAGGAGTAGAGTTTTTCTATGGCCTTTGTATAATTTATGCAATCCTCTAGTCACTGATCTACTCCTATTTCTTTTGGTTAATTTTACTGTTTTAACGTCACGAAAATGAGATCGATTAAGTTTGAGTTCAGTCTGTAAATTTTATATTGATATACTACTTGGGAAATGTGAGCATTGCTGCTTTCTTGACTTTATTTATTGTTATAATCCATAGTCCTACGCTGAGGAACATTTCTGTAACTGATAAAACTGACTATTATTCACTTTCCAATGTTAATATCGTTTGCTTTATGCACACACCTTTTATACATTGTATATTAGAGACGAAATACTTCTTCCACACTGGCTACAAGCGTTTCTATGTGTTTTGTTATGCTATCAAATTTATGCTTCAACATAGATCAGTGCGCATTTTAACTGATGCTTGTTGTTAGTCAGAACTTAATTATCTGGAATAGATTTCTGATATACTAGGCTACGCATAATGTGAAGGCTGATGATACTATTCAGTTGACCAGGTTGAAGTAGAGCGGGATTCAAACCTATTAGCTGAGAGTCAACTGCTAAAACCAGTGAGCTATGTTTCCACAATGTTCGTCGAGTTAGATGACCGCAGTTCATTTGATGTTTCAAAACCTATTAATCAATATGAAAAGCTTGTTTTTATCACCGCCTAGATACATTATCACTGTTCAATTTACTAATTGTAGGTTGATGTGTTTTTAGAATGCATCGATTGGTATACTGATCAGCTAAAGAGTTCAGGCGATTGAAATTGTTATTTGTTATAGGTTATCCAATAGCTGTTTCAGGTGGTCGCTTGATTAAATATTTCTACTATTTGTATGTATGTAGAAATAGATTACATAAATATAAATAAGATTAAATTATCGAATGGGCTTATTTAACGAGAGATTCATTGGAAATTATGACAAGAAAAAGCTCACACTTTATTATTATTATTTGAAAGGAATAAAGTATGCGAATTTGGGTCATTTTCAAAGTCACATCTTAAACAGCTTTTTGCCATCTTTCACTCTACTACTCAAACAAGTTGACATTCCCATCTTTGAAATAGCTACACTGGCATGAATTTATTCTTGGGCTGTTTGGTAGCCTACTTTCACAGATTTAAGTAATCAAAAGAGTTTTACTAAAAGAATTGGAGAAATAAAATAAAACTAATAATTCAGTATATTCCATTCCTACCACCATGTCTATAGTGTCCATGACTAGTTTTGTAGAATAGCTTAACATTGGTGCTGTCTAGTTTGACATATGTGATTCAGTAGCGTCAGATTTTCATTATAACTCCAAATAAACTCAGCTTGAATTTCTTATCCACGCATGGTCGCAGTAATCTCACTAGGCCGTCATACCAGTGCTATGTCATCAGTGTATGTTCTCTTCACAGTACAGGCTGCACCATCTTAACATACATTATAGATAATCATGTGCACTTTTCAAAGGAAAGAATCAGTGATGTTACTTACGTAAGGAAAATTATTGAACATAGTTGATTCACTGTTATTTCATAGCTTGTAATTGTATATTTTCACTGTTATTAAAAATCTACTGCTCGTTCCACGTGTTTATGCATCCCTTGTTTACAACTAATCACACATTTTTTCTTGCTTACTTGTGCAGTTAATATCTGAAGGTATACGTTGAAAGTATCAAAATAAAATACAAATTTCCAAAAGATTTTTGTATATATTTATGAGTGAATGAATCTTGTGTTTTTTTGTTTTGTTTATGTATTGTTATTCTTTGTTTTGTTTACCTGCTACTCCCTTCCAGACGTAAACTGCTAAATTCAGGACTGAATTGGTTATATTATTTATGAACCTAATGGTATCGATAAGTCTGTAAATTTATGCAAACACATTTTATTTTGCACCTTTAAAAATATGTTTGCTGACTGAGTCAATAGATAAATTGTATCTCAATGAATGAGCGAATTATTCTATGTGGGGAAACTCCTGTATATTACAATAAAGTTATCTTACTAGTCTAAAGGTATACTTTAACTTGGTGTGATGATGCGTCTAATTTTGTAAACACCGTTTCTGTCAAGTATCGTGATGTAAATTTTACTCTGTAATAAATAAATAAATAAATAAATAAATAAATAAATATATTTAATGCCTATATTCCATCCAGTTGATGAACTACTTGTAGATTTCGCGGTATTTACGGCACACTTCGCCAATTCATTATCATTGTTCTTATTTGACACTGATTAACTAGTTGAGCCTGAGAAACTCGAATTCTAAATGCCGTATTTATTACTAGTAATAATGATATATGTGAAAGTGAAACCAACCCTTTTTTTGTTTTAAATAAAACGAGGAACAAGTTACGCCTTATCTAAGTATTTTATTTACATACTGATGAAAGGTACTAAGAAACACTAATAACCTAATACTAATGGCTTTTTCATTCCACAGGTACCTGGTCGTCGCATGGGTGATATATGTGCATTATATTATTCTATAGCTGCACCTTTCAAAGCAGGAAATAGAAGTAAATATCATAATCAGCTGATTGAACAGTGTTATTCTCGAGCTGTTCGAGCCGGCTTAGTTACATGCCGTTGGCGAAAATCGTCGTCTATAGAGGAAACACTAGTTAATACTCCTAAACCTGAATTGACTGAAGATCCTTTAGAGGGTGAAATCAAATCATTTTTAGTAAATTTGGTTGGTGCTTCAAAAGCTACCGATTTACTCGGTAATGAATTGCTATCTTCACCACAGCGTATCCAAACACCAATTGTCTTTCATTCTCCTGCAAAATCTATACAAAGTGCTTCTCCCTCGTCTCCAATAAAAGGTTCATCAGCTTCTGTCAGACTAGAAAATGACTTGAGTCCAACCACAATGCCTACAACGAACGCCTATCAGACAAGCAGCTCCGAAGCATCCTCGGAAAATGACAGTGATTCAATATGTCAAGGAAAGTAAGTTCTCCATCGATTTTTTTTTATTACCTTCAGTTGTTCCTTAGAAAGATTAATTTTTAGAACATTAATAATGCTATTCAGATGGAAAGTGACTGTCACAATCATTGTTCATACTTCCCTATTTCCATGTTTTTGATACAATAATAAAGTTAATTCTCCACTCACTTTAAAACTACAGAGTTTTGTGAATCGTAGTATTAATCGTATTAGTTTATGCCAAGTAACATGATTGTTTGTATCATTGGGACTGAAATTAACCGTCATTCGGCTATGTTATTCAAAAGACAAGGCTATGAATGAGGTAGCATTTATATACTTTTATTCGAATTCATTTTAATAACCGGGCAACATGTTGCTTACGTGGATTCTGTGATTAGTGACACGACAACATTGCTTTGCAGTTTACTGCAATGTGCTTTAAATTTCATTTGTTGTAAAGAAGAAACTGGTTCGTGCCACTGTGACCTAAACATTTTTCCTAGTGGGTAAGTGTATGCACTATTTGAAAAAAGTTGGTCATTTTCTGGTCTCTTTTTCTTTCGACTAGGTGGATGAAAGTAACAGGAAACCTTCACCGAAGCTTCACGTCTATGAACATTTGTAAGAAACATCATAAGTCAAGATAACAAAGTTCATAATCTGCAAGAATTTGTATTTCAAAATGCATTTTAATTGATTAAATATTCGTGAAATGACGTTCAAGTGATAATTCATTATTCAGTGATGACTAGCCGTAAAATGCGAACTACTGACTGACTCCACTGAAGTTATATATGTCCTGAAAGAAAAAAATTATCATCAGTGTTAAAAGTGGAACAATAGAATTAATATTTTTATATTGTGTGATATCTATAAAAAACAAAATTATCATGTTGTATCTTGTGTAACAAGGTTACTACGTATGTACTAAAGCTAGGACAAAAAACAACGTCAGATGACATCCATTTACAATTAGGCGTATATATACACCAGTGACCACCAGATATGCGGTTAGTTTTTCTTACTGAATGTGAAAGTCAATCCTGGTCCATTGTGTCAGTTCTCTCGCCACATGATGATAAGTGAAATGCTACAGGTACTCGTAAAGCAGTTAAAGTTCGATAATACATACAGGTTGAATAAAGCAAGAATAACAGTGGTTTGTTTGTGCAGAATAATATGGTACCATCATTTCGAGTCACTTCTCTGGATATTCTGTAAATCGATGGGTTGAAGGCGAAACAAAAACTTGTGCGTTTATTTCCAGAGGCCGTTGACATAAATTGTTGTACGATGACTGAAGTTTTCGTCTTGTCTTGATTCATCACTCATTGATTACTCTTGCTTATTATATTACCCAGTTGTTCTTTAGATAAATTTACTTCCAATCAATTTAGCTTAACCTTTTCTATCAGTGTTTATTATAAACAGTTGTATACACTCAAAAATTATATTTGTATAAATCTCAGTTATATTGCAATAAATAATTACATCGTTTCATTGTTTCTGAGATTTATGCAAACATAATTTCCAAATAAGTCTACTTTTCACTTTTAATGTCTAGTGTCTGCGAAACAGTTTGTTCAAATTTTAATCAAACTTCATTATTTAATGGCTGTTTAAACGTTGAACTCAAAAATGTGCTCAATATGTCCTATATCATACCATGTTATGCTACATATCAACATGGCGTACCGGTGAACTTTTCTTGTGATTTTTGTAATAGTCACTTATTGAAGTGATATTTCTGTTTCTTACTGTTTCCATTTCTACTTCTGCCCGCCCACCTTCTTTTCACTATTTAGACTGCCAATTGAAAGAATAACTGTTAGTTCAACTTTAAATTATCACCACTGAATATTGACGTTTAATTAATTAGAAGAATTGATTAAATGTCTTCATAATAGGATAGATATTATTCACTATTATCCATGTTACTGCTATTAATGTGATTGTGATTACAGAACTGTAATGTTTCTTTTTTTCCCTAAAATTATGATTAAACACGCTAATTATAACAATGCGTTGTTGATGGGAAGTAAAGGATTTTTCATCGCGTAATATTCTTTTTTTCTGTGTACATCTGATAATTATAGTTCAATCCTTTCGCTAAATAAGTAAAGATTAAAAACTCTTGAGAAATTCAAAACAAAATAACTAGTATTACAATTAAACTAGAAAGTAGGTAAAGTCGGCGGTTGAATCTAAACTGTCTAACTTTAATTAGCTGATGAAGTATTGCACTGGTGGAGTCAGAGAACACAACATCCGATGAGTTTTTGCTTTGCTACGACGAGTGGTTATCGTATTCTGTTTCTAAATCAACAATTCATTCCGATAGAGAAAGAAAGACCAGATTTGCAGTATAAAATGATATCATTCTATTCCACAGGTTCTCATCAGCTGCAAACTACCTGAAATTACAATGGTTATAATTAATAACATTTCATACTTCATTGTTTGAAAGGTAATACAGAAAGCATTATAAGATAAACGCATCCGGAATATAAGGATTAGAATTTTTGTAGTTTAAGTTACCATCAATTTATATACTATCAAACTATGGAAAAAAGGAAGAAAAAGGGGGGGTGAGAGAAGACAGAAAACAGAAAAATCTAATAAACAGTGTCAACATGGCAACTCAAGAACGTTAAATTTCAGCAAATTGAAAACTTGCTCAGTGAGCTGAGCTCACTAGTGTATATGAATAATCAGTGTAATGAAATTAATATGGTTACCAAGGGAGTGAGAGATTGACTACACTCTCTTTCTGTGTGCATAAGTTTGGTCTGAGACGTTTGATTGCAATTGCTTCAGCAAATCGTAGTAGATTCGCTGTCCTTTGTATGTTTAATATTTTGAAGGATTTGGAAATCTCAACAAAATGGCCTGTATCCACAAGGTGTCTGGTGATTTCACTTTGTAAATATTTGCTTCCTTTTAAGCATAAGTTTCTCGGAATATGCTCTGAAAACCGGATAGAAGCCCTTCTTTCTGTCCTTCCGATGTACTTGCTGCCGCAGGTGCACGTAAATTTATAAATGCAGTTGGAGGTAACATCAGCAGGGTATTTATCCAGTTTCGATTGGCTTATAGAGCATGTAGTACTGTATAGTGTCACTAGATTGGCTGCAGGGAAGCATCTCTTGATTGCTCCTTTCATCCTTTTTTCAATCTTCTGCGATACTGTTTCTCCTTTGTATGGGAGGCAAATGAATACTTTCTTCTTTTCAACTGTTGGATACTTCTCTTTCTCATCTCTTTCTTTGCTGTACTTTAGGATAAATCCTTTTGGATACCCGTTCTCCTTAAGGCATTTTTCAACGAAGCTTAATTCTTCTTCTATCTTGTTGGGCGAACATAACTTCCTAGCCCTGTCGTACAGTGTCCTTACTAATCCCCGCTTATAGCTCATAGGGCAGAAGCTGTTGTAGTGAAGGTATTGTCCGGTGCATTCTAGCAGATATCTTCATGGGCTATCTCGAACAGACGCGACTGAGTGACGCTATCAATGAAACAACATACTACCGTCGATACGTTGATGATACTTTTGTTGTTTGTAACGACATGAGTCAGGCATCCGTATTATTTGACCGCCTAAATGAGGTCCACCCAAACATTAAATTCACCATGAAATACGAACACAATGATGAGCTCAATTTCCTAGATCTAAATGTAAAAAGAAGAGACGATGGAACGGTCGAAAAGTCCATCTACAGAAAAGAAACTTGGACATCTCAAACAAACTACAGACCTTCATTAACAGTTGTCTTCGCTCAATACTGAAGATCAGATGGCCGGCCAGAAAAGATCAGCAACAGGGATCTCTGGGAGCGAACCGACCTGGCAGGAACCGATTGTGAAACAAATAGGCAGGAAGAAATGGGGATGGATTGGCCATACTCTGAGGAAACCCTCAAGTGAAAGCACTAGACAAGCCATTGCTCGAGTGGAACCCGAAAGGGAAGCGGCGAGTTGGTCGTCATTGCGAGGGTGACTTGGAGGAGGTCATGTGAAGAGGAGATGAAAGCGTGTGGGCAAACTTGGAGCCAGGTGAAGACTCTAGCAGAGAACCGAACGCAATGGACATGCACGGCTGAAGCCCAATGTTCCTCTAGGAATTAAAGGAAACAATAATATAATAATAATAATATCCTCAAAAGTTAATTATTGCCTTAACTCCGCTTATTTAGGTTTTATTCTGATCCATTACTACAACATAGGCTTTCATCAAAGAATGAAAATACCTAGGCTTTTTCTTACACACTTTTCAATAAGTCCGATTATTCGGTTTTTCTGTAAGTTGTAAAGCTCTGAAAACTTTGTATGATACGTAATTGGTAATTTCGCTTTTATTCTGATCATAGCCTAGGTTGTTTCGTTTGACATTTGCTGTGGTGTAGTCGTTAAGAGAATCAGTGTTATTAGTGTCACGAATACGACTAGCTCATAATTTAAGTGCTTTACATAATCCTACTCATAAATCATCACTCCTTCTATTTACTTGCAGAGGTAAAGGACACAGTCTTCCCAGTGGTGCATATTATGACCATGAAGAGTTTTTAACATTTCTAAATATGACCAATGATCAGTTACTTCAAGAAAAGGAAACAGAATTATCCTATTTACAACGCATAAACGAGGAACTCCGTGAACAGATGGACGTAAGTGATTATATTTTCCATTTTTTTTATGTGTGACACAAATTTAGTTTTAAACTATGCACATAGGTGAAAATCACCCTCTTCGAGTTGTCATGATTTAAGAATCATTCTTTGAAGACTATTGCTAACACGAGTTAAATCATCTACAATGGTTCAGGTGTATTCATTCCTTCTTATCATCCAGATTCTGAAAATTCACCTTATTATTCTATCTTCTGTAAATTTCTGTCTGTCTGTATTCGACATAGAACTTTGCACCGATGTGCAGCACTTCAAGTCACCACACTCCCTCCTTTTAGCACACAAAGTAAGAGAAGAAAGTAGAAGAAATGCATAATAGAAATAGCAGACAGAGGTGAGTGACAAGGGAATAGTAGTAACAAAGAACAATATAGTTTCATTGGAAATCATAGGCAACAAGGAGTGGATGCATCTGCACCATTGAGAACGATTTTGAGCCATATCACCGATTGTTTCCAACCATTGGCTTTTCCCATCCCGAGGACCCCAACCAGGAAGTCTACATCTTCCTACGTGGCTTAAGCTAACTGTTGTGGATTTCATTGACTGGTGCCATGTTTTCGTTTGACCGCCGCTAGCTCTTTTCCAGCCTGACCCTATATCAGCTAACATTGCTCGTCGAGGAATGCGATGACTAGGCATACGGAACACATGTCCTAACCATCTCAGTCGATATAGCTTCACAGCCGTGTCGATTGATTTCCCCCTCCTTACCTAGCACTTGACGCCTAACCTCAATATTGCTCACCTTATTATACTACTTCACACGGGAGATAGAACTCAGGCACCTATGAACAAAGACAGCTAATCTTTTCATGTCTGCCATTCTTAATGGCCAGGTCTCACAGCCATAAAGGAGGACGAAGCGGACTGCTGAGCAGTACACCCGCCCTTTGCTCGATAGCCGGATATCACGTCTTACACTTTTATGCTTTTATCTCTGAAGTATAACAAATTGAATGCACACACTTTTGTGCAAAGCCAGGTACAGTAGTGATATTAGTCCCGTCGAAAATAGTAACGTACACATAGTAAATAAAGCAAGATTTAACAGTGGGACAACTGTAGTAATCAAAAACTATGGTAAGAATGATGCCATAAAGTTAATAAAAAAAGCTAGAGAAATTAAGTTACGGCGAAAAGACTATAAAATTACTAACTTCTATCTGATGTCTGCTTTGCCATATAGTTTTTAACTACTGGTTATCTTTTCTTCGTAAGCACCAGTCACTCAGACCAAATCATTCATGTGAAATTTCGAAGCTCCTGTCTTTCCTTGACTTGGTCATTTTTCTAGTGCTTATTTCACTGCTTGTAGCAGTGTGTTACTGATTTCAAAATATTAGGTAAACTGTAGTAAACTAAGAAAAGAAGACCTACAACCGCTCCACTTTATCCTAAACTGTTTCAACAGTATCGGCTGAGTGACATATATCTATTTGATATATTTTGTTTTTTGATATTTTGACTATAGCTTGAAACCACACAGTACTTTTGGTACAAGTATGGAATTTTCGGCATATGATATCGGTAGCCCGAATTTTGCAGGCCGACCATTGATATCGAGTGTGCGTCGGCAGGGGATCGAACCCCGGACCATGTCGTATGGTCGGCGAGAGTCCTAACCGCTTTGCCACCGATGCACAAATAACAAATAATTTGACTTAAGTCTTGCCAGAATGATAAATTATTGCATATCGACTGACTTTGTGGAGCGCTGTGTGAATTACTGGCTTAAGTAATAGTTGACTTTCAGTCAGTGGGTCCTGGCTTTGAATGTTGCTCCGCCTGGTGCATGAGATTTCTATTTTGGGTACTTGAATTGTAACACACCAGTATCAGTCAGCTGACTTTTTTATCATTACTGTCAAAAAATATCCATGCTGAAATATGACAGCACTAAATTTTCATCAAATTCAAAATCGTGGTGGGATTATTTATTTATATTGTATATGAAGAAGATTTAATCTATAGAATGCCTTTTTGTGAAGTTATCCAGTTTTTTGGAAGGGAAATTTATTCTTTATTCTTCAGTTTCTTTGTAAAGTATTCACTTTAGCCTGAAGTAGTAAAAATAAATATCTTCAGAATCCACTATCCGTTTTCATAACACCATGGCTAACGGTAGCTCATTTATATAAAGTCCATTGTGGTTTCATTTGAAAATTTAAATGTTTAAATCACAAGCTACAGTTTCCTAGATGTTAAGAGTACTTGAAATCATTTGCACTAACGCTGAATGTAGATAAGCTACCATTACTTAGAGATAAAAATTTGCGTGTTATATATTGTTCAGTTAGGATTACAGGTCACACTATCAGAATTATAGGCATTTTTAAAGATTTGACTCCAGAGACCTAACTCTTAAGTAAGTCGATAAAAGTGGCATTCACAACAAACTTGTATACGCATCTAAGTCTCGAGAGAATCGAAGTTTAAAATCTACATTTCTTGTGCCTCCTCACGAGAACCCTTGGGTATCGGCGGCCGTCTTAGATGGTTTCACCTTCGTACTACGCGCTAAAGCTGAAGGTACATTGCTCAACTATTGGTAGGATGCTTTACGTGAAAGTAAGAAGTTGGTGCCAAGTAAAGCTCTGTATTTCTGTCGTCTGTGCCTGCACACTAACGGATTGCAAACCGAAGGGTGTTTTCTACTATCCTTTAGAGTCCATCTCAAGCAGGCATGCTAGATATATATTGTAGTGCTAAAACCATCTTTTTCAGCTATGTGCAGATTACAACCCACTTATGGGCATCACCAACTCCCACAACACATGTCACCGTAATACTACTTGCCGTCTTTCCTCTTCCATTCAGGCCTCAATTCATTGCTGTTAGCCACTGATGGGGTAGATGCATACAGAACTAACTTTCCATCTGGAACACTTATGTCATTATGTGGCAGCTATGTGTTGTGTTCTGATGCTCCTGTTGCAGTGTGAAACGTGCTTATGACAACAATGTTTGCTACAAGACAGACGGGTGGGTGGGAACAAAATAAGTAAGTGGAAAGCATTTGAAACAGGAGACCAGTTGAAGTCTAGGGAACCGAAATGCACTACGGGGGTGGACAAGGATAAGCAGAGCTATTCCTGAAGTGGGAAGAACCATATATAGTCATATAACAATGCTGTCCAGTGTATATTATGAAGAAAGAAGATAAAAGGAGAAGAGTAGATCCTAGTCATCTGCAGAGATAAATACGAGGGTATCGAGAGGAGAAATTCGAATGGTATATCTGGATAGGGTGAACGTTGGCGACGTGACTTGAATTTGTGCTAAACACGCTCACTAATCTCCATTAATTTTTTCTTTCTTCCACACATTTCTGTTTCTTCTGCAAAGTGTGGTAACCTGGGCTGATGGATATCTGTGCCAAACTCTACTTTGATCTATGAGTAAATCACTCAGGCACTTTCACTAAAACATGATGTTTTTCCCTTTGTCAACCTGTCCACTGTTTATCTTTAATATACATTTTTCTTGTTGGATTAAGACTTTCGATCTGTGATTGAATGGGGAAAAGTCTTATATTCATTCAGATATCTTTTGGAGAAGTTTTAAAGCTTTTTAAGTAATTATACTCTCGTATTTCCAATCCGTAGAATAACAACTATTTTTTCCATTTTTCCTTGGAATCCCAAACTTTATTTGCACAATTAAATTAGGACTAGAGATTTTGATTTTTTTTTATGGAGAAATTATTTCAACCTGTCAATCCGGATATAACCAGCCTCAATTTTACAGGATTACTCTCTCTATATATCCGAAAATAGTGAAACGACTAAGATTACAAAGTCGTAGGTGTATCTAAGTACACCTTTTGAAAGAACACGTTAAACACCTCGCTGCACAGTCTGTCAGAGAAAAGAAAATTTTAACCGCTAAAGTTTTACATTTCTCTGTCGAAGTTGCTTCATTCTCAAGTTGCTACTTTGTCGTTTATCTTTTAGTTACCGTGTTCTAGATGGTTAATTTTTCGCTCGTGACATTACTCTCCACCTCGCGTCAGGACTGTTAATTAGCATACCTACATACATACGTACGTGCTGTACACTCGGTACTTGAATTGTTTATTTACTGTTTCTAGATGATTCGCTCTTATATTGCAAGTTTTCATAAACAAATATTGTACAATCGATATTATATATATATATATATATATATATATATCATGTGATTTTTTCTATTCTACCTAGATGAAGTGCTTAATTGTATACATAAAATAATACAACAAAAATTTTAAAAAAGTTTTTAGAATTAATGTTATGAATAAATAAAAGAAGAGAGAAAAGAAAGAAAAATACATAATATGCTACTGGTTATACTGAAGTTACAAAAGGTGTTTCTATGTACTGAGGGGCGGCGTCTGTCTCTATCAAGATAGAGAAGTTTTTCGGTCTATCTCGTTTCTTTCTAAAGCATACCTTAATTTTACATTTCACACTTAAATCAATCAATGAGGTGTTGTACACTTTCTTACTACACCAACAATGCACTCAACTTAACTAATATGAAATACTTTTTAAATTAACTTTTTTTTTCTCTCCATCATGTTACTTATATTTATACGCTTTTGATTCACATAGAGAGATTTTTTTTAAAATTGTCATCTATATCAAACAGTGTCACTTTATGTATGCTCTGGTTCTCTATAGTTGTTAAAATAGAGTGAACTATCCATCCTGTACGGTGGAATATTTTACACCTACACCTACTAGGTCAAATTTAATCCTTCAGAGTTCATTTTGTTCCTCTTCATTTTTATTCGTTCGTCAGTTTCTGTTATGAAAAAAAAACCGCTTTGATACATTCTATATATGTCTTGTTCTAGCGTCTTCTAGTCTTAGCTAATAACGGAATGGAAATGGCTGGAAACAGTCGGCGATATGGCTCAAAATCGTTCTCAATGGTGCAGATGCATCCACTCCTTGTGACTTATGATTTTCAATGAAACTATATTGTTCTTCGTCATTACTATTCCTTTTGTCTCATATCCCTGTCTACTGTCTCTATTATGCATTTCTTCTACTTTCTTCCTTTGCTTTGTGTGCTAAAAGGAGGGAGTGTGGCGACTTGAAGTGCTGCACAATCGGTGCAAAGTTCTATGTCGAAAACAGACAGACTAATAACGGAATGGATTGAAGAAAGACTAGACCTAGTCAGTTGATTAGTAACTTGATGACAGTTTTCTTGACATCTACTTGTATCATATTGTTTATTGTCTTATCAGCATTGTGCTATTCTTCTGTTTCATAAATGGGGCTTATTTTTCAGCACTCTCATGTTTGACTGAATTTGTATCCATGCAGACAAATAAAAATCACCTCACAGATACTCATCAGAATCATGATCCAGTTTTCCGTTTGTTGATAGACAACATTTGGTTACTAGGTAACCACCTCTACAATGACATAGTATTATCTATTATTGCTGCTATTGCTTACAGACTTAAATGAATTGATATTTTGCCCGATTTTTACTCCTAAATTAATCAACTGACGATTTCACTTAAATTATTACTTTGAATGGGATAAATCAGGTTTCGCCTGCAGTCAACTGTCTCTTAGGTAACATACATCTAATCCACTAGGTGATTAGTTTAATTCTATATGATTTCTTTTATCCTACAGAAAAATACAATCTTGCTTTCACTAACATGAGTATGTATAATTGTTATGCTTCTATATTTCTTCCAAAATGTCAATTCGTTGGCTATCAAGACACCCTTAATATAATTCATCACGTGCCAATACTTTTCGTCTCTGCTCTCAAAATCAATGGATTCTAATCTGTTTAATTTTGTTCTTAATAATGACCTCGCCTATTTACTATTGCCTACGTTTTAATTTTAAATCATGAGTTAATCACCTAAATTACTATTAATCAATATCTTCTCAGTAGTAGCTAAATACATAGAAATGAAGGTACTTATTCGTATCAGTAAGGCTAATTAGCTTTTCTTTTCATTCCTTTGCGTTCCGAGTGAAACATAGGGTTTTAAGCTGGAGCTTTCAAGTATTATTTTCACGTAATCGGGGTTCCAAGTCTCACAACTAACTTTCTCTCTTTATTGGGCCTACTACAGGCGAAATGAGACTAAGGAGTGCATTGATTGGGAATCAAACCTAGACTGTGTACGCCGTCGGCGAGCACTCTGCCATTGAACCAGCGAAACCAAAGTTATCCCTCTCAAACTTTTGTTTTTATTCAACTTTTGCCATGTACACCATCCACTTATTTTAGAGAACTAAAAAGATGTCAGTATATTGGAATAAATACTAGACAAAGTTCTTTAGAAGTGGGTCTGCTTAGTGTTATCAAACCACGATATAGTAACTCAAGTGTTGGTTTGCAGGGATATGACTGGTTACAGGATTTCATGATAAGCTAACATCGGCTAGAGAACCATTTTAAAACCTTGGAGTACTAGTTGGCTGTCTCATCCCGATTGGGGACTCTTCAGCAGACGCACCCACTTAAGGTCAAACTCAGGATCTTCCAGTCAGAAAGCTAGCTGGTAGAACATTAAGCCACTGGGACATCATCTAAATACCCATAAATCCTAACTTCTGCCAATTCACAACATAGTGCGACCACTAGCCAACGTCATCAGGCCTGGGTTCAAAACCTGGTGATGGGTACGTACTGATGAAGAGTCCCGAACTTGGACCAAACAGCTGTTCAGTACTCCCAGGTTTCCCAATGGTTCTCTAACCGATGTCAACTCATGATGAAATCCAACAACAATTTGTTTGGATTTTAGAATTGTCCTAATTACAGAGAAGGAGTAGAGGTTTTCTACAGATGCTTCAGAAGGCCCAATAATCCTGCACATATAGTGGCAATTTCATGTATCAATTTACCGCTTTTCTACACCGATAAATTGCTCAGTTGATTATAAACCTGATCTGACCAAACTTAAATTAGGTAGGACTATGGTTAATTAACACATATACAAGTAATCGTTGCTTCTTAGGTTTACAATGAGTCGCTACATGTTCTTCTTTAGTACATATGTTTAAGGTATAACTCCTTTTGACATTGAGATGAAATGATTAACAGTATGGTAACCATTGTTCATCAGCGCTTATAATATAAAACCCTTTTTCTGATAGTTAACAAATCGTCATTTATGTTCAAAAAGTGACTCATAATTTAAACGTAAGATATATAATATACATGTTATATCAACAAAAGGTAATTTGATGGGTAATCAGGGAGTCAGTGAGTTCTTAATAACAGACGTGAAGCTGTGTTTCTATTCCTAACGGTAGTTTCAAATCTAACATTTGAACTGAGTGTTCGTTCTTACAAAACCATAAATGGTTATTACCATATGATTAAATTATATATGCAGTCTCATCTACAATCATTAATGTGACAAATCTTATTCTTCTAATCTCCTATCTTGATAAACTTCATAAATGTTCATAAGATGAATTCATCAAAGGCATATTTAGTAAACGTGGTTAACATTGGTTATTAAGAAAGAAAGCAGATAGTACCTGCCAGGAATACATAATATCACTACATTCATTTATCTTGTAATGTAATGTCTTATAGAGACTTTTTAATACTTGTTACCTGACTACTCAGAGGTCGGTCTGGTTTATTCATAGTCTGCAGATTGTTTGCCCAAAAATTACAACACTGTTTTAGTCTTCATGAAATTTTATCCTAATTATTCTGAATTGTGTGTATGTATGTAGTCAGTTTCCTATATAAGTGATGTGGTTATTGCCTTTAAGTTATGTATATTTATTTTATTACTGTTGTTCCTTCCAACTGCATATTATTTTTATTGTTATTTATAGATTACTGAAGCACGTTCAAGGTCTGTCCTTCACAACATGGACTTACTCAAACCTAATGAAGGATTCCCCAAAGTAAGATTAATCTCATTATTTACTTATATGCTTCCACATCAATTAATTTTCTAAAATTTCATGCTGATTTTGGTTCTCAGTATTACAATATAGTGAATGCTTCCCTTGCACTTTGACAATAATTTGTTAAACTGTCCATGTAGTTGTGTCTTGTCTGTGTGTTGACATTTAAAATGTCGGTCAGTTTTCGACATAGAACTTTGCACATATGTGCGGCAGTTCAAGTCGCCACACTCCATGTAGCACACAAAGCAAGAAAAGAAAGTAGAAGAAATACATAGTATAGTCAGTAAACAGAGGTGTGAGACAAAGGAATAATAATTCATGAATAATTCACATTCGGACATTAGTAGACAAAAGACAAGTAGTTCAGCAAAGAGTCTCTTTTCGGCGAATTCATTTTCAAAGCTGTACAATCGCAAATATATATGGTTATTTTGTGTGTGTGTGTGTATATACATTAAATTTGTCAAACGAAAATACGGTTAGTAAGTTCAAATGAATTGGATGTTGATAAGAGGATAGCAACAAAAGTGATGAGTTGTCATAAATGATTGTTAAATAAGAGTTACGCAATGGCATGAATAGTTTGATGAATGAGGTGTACTCAAAGGGTGTACATGGAAACAAAATAATATACAGAATTACACAAGGGTTTTAAGTTAGAAAAATAAGCATACAAACAGAAGTAAGGTCAAATCAAACAAACAAAGAAGAGTTGGGTCAAATCAACGGAGTTGTTACCATGCGAGTAGAAGTGGTTGGATGATTTTCTTTTGTATGCATAGTTCTGGTTCCACCAACTGGATGGCTAGGGCTTCTGCGATGCAAAGAAGACGGAATCGTACTGTCTTTGGGAGGTTGTTCTTCACTTTGTAGATCACTTTGAAGGAGGCGTTCGTTGAGATGGAATGACCAGTGTTGACGAGATGTTCGATTATTGCACTCCTTATATGGCCATTATTTCCTTTCTGTAGCCACGCTGGGTAGTGTTCTTTGACCCTTTTTGACAGGATGCGCGTTGAACGACCGATGTACCTGGCTCCACAGCAACAGGTGAACTGATATATACACATAGAAGTGGTCATGTGCGGAATCTTGTCCTTTGGGTTTCTGCAGATCAGCGGGCGACTGGAGAACACTATTCTTAGTGTTGCCGCAGGGAAAGTTCTTCCTAAAGAGGTGGAAATTCTCCTTCTGAGGACGTCACTAAGTAGGTCTCCTTTGAAGTCTAGGTTCATATAAAGTATCTTTTTTGGCACGGATGGTGTCTCTTGCTTTTGGTTTTTCTGTTTGATGTTTTTGTCTACAAATCTTGGTGGGTAGCCATTTTGTATGAAGATTTCCCTCAGGAAGTTTAGTTCTTCTTCCATGGTGTCGGAGCTGCAGATGCGTCTGACGCGAGTGGCAAGGGATTTAATTAGGTTTCTTTTCCGACTGATTGGTACCCAGCTGTAGAAACTTGTTAATTGTCCGTTCCAAGTCGGTTTCCTATGGATTGACCTTCTTAAAGTTCCGTCATCTCTCCTTGTAAGCTCAACGTCAAGAAAAGGGATTTTAGATTCATTTTCAGTTTCCAAAGTGAACTTTGTGGCTGGATGGCATTTGTTGAATATTTGCAGTAGTTGATTGAGATCGTGACCGTCATCACAGATGATAAAGATGTCGTCAACATATCTAACGTACAACTGGAAATTGTCGATGGTTGATTTGAGTGGGCCGTTCTCGAGGCTTGCCATGAAGCAGTCTGCTAGTAATGGGCCCAGTGGAGATCCCATTGCGATCCCATCTTGTTGTCTGTAAATAATGTCGTTGAATGTGAATTGCACATTGAGTGTACATCTCAGTAGTAGTTCTTTTAAACAGGTCGTCGGTAATCCGATGTTCAGCTGATTTTCGTCGATATAGTGACAAATATAAGAGACAGTTTCCGTGAGTGGAACGTTGGTAAATAGTGATTCAATGTCGAGGGAGAGCATAGTTTTGTTCTTTGTATTGATATCTTTAATGTAATCGACGAATTGGAAAGTGTCACGAAGTGAATAGTGGCACATTCGTTTTCGTACAGGTTCTAAAATGTCAGTGAGCCATTTCGCTATTGAATGGTACGGGGAACCTGACATATCCAGAATTGGACGAAGTGGGAGGTTGGCTTTATGTATCTTTGGTAAGCCATATAGTCTTGGTATTATCGACCCTGTCGGTCGGATCTGATCATACACTTCATGAGTGATTAACTTTTGGGTTTGCATTCTTTTCAGGACATCGGTGAGTTGCTTTTCAATCTGTTCTGTTTTGTTTCTTTCGTTGGGTGGTTGCGAAAATTTTGTTTTATCTGACAAGATGTTGTTCATTTTCTCAATATAGTCTTTCTTGTTCATAAGGACTATGCCAGCTCCTTTGTCTGGACGAGTTATAAGGAGTTCTTCATTTTGTTTTAGTTGATTTAATTCTTCTCTATGTTGCTTTGTCAGGTGGTTGTATACTTTTGGCTTTGTATTAAGATACTGATAGCAGCTATCGATTATAGTTGAATACGAATTTCGAAGGGTCTTCAGGAAATTCTTTGTGTGCTTTTGTGTCCCTCGACAGTCAAGGAACTCAATGGGTTTCTACGGTACACTGTCAAACTTGCGATAGTGAAAGCAAAAATTTCTTTTTTCAATGATTGCATCACCAATCGCGAATATCCAAAGTGGTTTTGGAAAGCATTGAGAAGAAGCCACATATATCCCAACACAAAATCCCTTCGACGACATACGTTTAATCTTATTGACTCTATTAAAGCCCGTATTCCTGAACTACAACGCAACATTTCACAAAGGTCTCCAGCCCTCCACGATCTTCTACCTAGTGAAACCCAGAGGTTTACGGAAAATGTCAATACAGTCACTGAAAAACGAGCAAAATCTACTACTTCCGGACTCACCAAAAGCCTCAAATCCATCAAAGCACACAAAGAATTTCCTGAAGACCCTTCGAAATTCGTATTCAACTACTCTTCAGTAGCTTTATCCAACCTACAGTTAGAAGCCCTATCCATGGGCCCGAAATTCTGCGACGTCAACTTAAACGCCAACAGACTCCATACGCAAGTACAATTCGAAAACCTAATGACCCAAACAAATGATTTAACCCCAACCTCCGAACAAGAATTGCAGCGTTTCAAATCAACAATAATCGATAGCTGCTATCAGTATCTTAATACAAAGCCAAAAGTATACAACCACCTGACAAAGCAACATAGAGAAGAATTAAATCAACTAAAACAAAATGAAGAACTCCTTATAACTCGTCCAGACAAAGGAGCTGGCATAGTCCTTATGAACAAGAAAGACTATATTGAGAAAATGAACAACATCTTGTCAGATAAAACAAAATTTTCGCAACCACCCAACGAAAGAAACAAAACAGAACAGATTGAAAAGCAACTCACCGATGTCCTGAAAAGAATGCAAACCCAAAAGTTAATCACTCATGAAGTGTATGATCAGATCCGACCGACAGGGTCGATAATACCAAGACTATATGGCTTACCAAAGATACATAAAGCCAACCTCCCACTTCGTCCAATTCTGGATATGTCAGGTTCCCCGTACCATTCAATAGCGAAATGGCTCACTGACATTTTAGAACCTGTACGAAAACGAATATGCCACTATTCACTTCGTGACACTTTCCAATTCGTTGATTACATTAAAGATATCAATACAAAGAACAAAACTATGCTTTCCCTCGACATTGAATCACTATTTACCAACGTTCCACTCACGGAAACTGTCTCTTATATTTGTCACTATATCGACGAAAATCAGCTGAACATCGGATTACCGACGACCTGTTTAAAAGAACTACTACTGAGATGTACACTCAATGTGCAATTCACATTCAACGACATTATTTACAGACAACAAGATGGGATCGCAATGGGATCTCCACTGGGCCCATTACTAGCAGACTGCTTCATGGCAAGCCTCGAGAACGGCCCACTCAAATCAACCATCGACAACTTCCAGTTGTACGTTAGATATGTTGACGACATCTTTATCATCTGTGATGACGGTCACGATCTCAATCAACTACTGCAAATATTCAACAAATGCCATCCAGCCACAAAGTTCACTTTGGAAACTGAAAATGAATCTAAAATCCCTTTTCTTGACGTTGAGCTTACAAGGAGAGATGACGGAACTTTAAGAAGGTCAATCCATAGGAAACCGACTTGGAACGGACAATTAACAAGTTTCTACAGCTGGGTACCAATCAGTCGGAAAAGAAACCTAATTAAATCCCTTGCCACTCGCGTCAGACGCATCTGCAGCTCCGACACCATGGAAGAAGAACTAAACTTCCTGAGGGAAATCTTCATACAAAATGGCTACCCACCAAGATTTGTAGACAAAAACATCAAACAGAAAAACCAAAAGCAAGAGACACCATCCGTGCCAAAAAAGATACTTTATATGAACCTAGACTTCAAAGGAGACCTACTTAGTGACGTCCTCAGAAGGAGAATTTCCACCTCTTTAGGAAGAACTTTCCCTGCGGTAACACTAAGAATAGTGTTCTCCAGTCGCCCGCTGATCTGCAGAAACCCAAAGGACAAGATTCCGCACACGACCACTTCTATGTGTATATATCAGTTCACCTGTTGCTGTGGAGCCAGGTACACCGGTCGTTCAACGCGCATCCTGTCAAAAAGGGTCAAAGAACACTACCCAGCGTGGCTACAGAAAGGAAATAATGACCATATAAGGAGTGCAATAATCGAACATCTCGTCAACACTGGTCATTCCATCTCAACGAACGCCTCCTTCAAAGTGATCTACAAAGTGAAGAACAACCTCCCAAAGACAGTACGATTCCGTCTTCTTTGCATCGCAGAAGCCCTAGCCATCCAGTTGGTGGAACCAGAACTATGCATACAAAAGAAAATCATCCAACCACTTCTACTCGCATGGTAACAACTCCGTTGATTTGACCCAACTCTTCTTTGTTTG